TGAAAGACAAATGATATTGTGTGGCAAGACTAAGAAAGGAAAAGGTTGAGACCAGTAAAACCAATTCAAATTTAAGGAATGAAGAATTCCAACTTTATGTGGGTAATTCTAGAAGATATAAAAAGAATGCCTTCTCCTCAATTGATGATTTAATGTTAAAACCCAGCAAGGACAACAGAAGAAAGAATATTCTCAATCATCAGTACAGATGCAGAAATTATAAATCTATATTGAAAAACAAGTTTAGCAAAGTACAAAAGACACAACAAATGAACTGGGTTTCATAGTGACAAGGTTATTTTCATACATATCAGTGTAACTTACCACATTAAAAATTAAAGGAGAAAATCTGGTTGATTATTTCAACAGAGAAGCAAGAATAGTTGATAAATTCTGAGTACAATCATTTAAAAACTCTCAATAAGGGCCCTCCCTGGTGGCGCAGCGGGTTAAAGCACAGCACTAAAAAGCCACTTCAGCATGAGTTCGATTCCAGCCTGCCCGGGAGGAGACCACATGGCGAGGCAGACCTCTCCTGACCCTCCCACTGCTCCTCTCCCTCAGTAGTGTACTTCTTCGATCTTACTGTTGTGCTCCCCTCTCTGTCTCTGGTGAATCCTCTCACCCTCCACATCTCTGGCCTGTACCCCAGTTCCATATGAATTAAAAAAAAAAAAAAAAACTCTCAAATGAAAATTAGTTAGCTTGATAAAAAGTAACAAAATCTACCGCAGACATGGCAAAATGCTGATAACGAACTGTCTTTGAAGATTCAAAACTAAAAACACCACACACACACACACACTCCAACTATTAAAGTGCATTATTCAGTCTGTCAAAGAAGGTTCCATTAAGCGTCTATGAAACTCAGTTTCAGATCCCAAAGTGAATTTACACTGCCATATATAATATGCTATTAGTAAGAGTGCGTGGAGAAGAGATGCGTCAGACACATTCACTTCATCCAGTCCAGGATACAAAAGTGACTCAGTCAAGTTCGCCCTGCTCTAAAACACTATAAAATCTAACGAAAAAAATTAATAGCAATTTACTGGAGACGGACTGTAAGAAAGGAAGTAAAGAGAAAAACTTGAGTGTGTTATTTCTTAATCATCTAGCATCTTTAAGGAATGAGTAGTTTTCTATTAAGTCACAGTTCCAGAAATATAAGCTCACCCCATTAAGCTTTGAGGCTTTGCTCATAATCACTGAGGGAGAGAATTTTCTCAAACAGGTTAGGTGGTTCATTCTTGTAGAAGATGCTCATATAGTAGACCTTCTTGATGACTCCCAGGCACTCTACTGAGAGCATGACAGCTCTAACACAGAACTGGTGGCTGCGGGGAGCATCGGGGGCAGAGGATTTTTTCACCAGTAGGAGTATTTTCTTAAATTTGTCTTTTATTTTTTGCTTCTTGATGAAGGTGAGCAAGAGGGCAGTAAAATTTCTCTGTGCAGTTTCAATTGTGGGAATTCCCTCAACTTAAAATGCAGTGAGGAATGGTAGAATGGAATGATAAAAACACCTACGTGGGTACTATGGGCATAAATGTGGGTACTATGGGCCTAACAGGAATATTTTCTAAGCTCCTTCACACGACACATACAAACATCATAAACAGCACAGATAAAGCCCTGAGAGATTGGGAGGGAAGAACAAAAAACAATTCACGCTCCTTAGAGCAGCTGGTCTTTAAGGATAAATGGAATGCATCTGAACACGCTAAATTACATGGTTTTTTTTTTTCCTCTTTGGGGGTAAGAAATCACAAATATAAACCGTAACTTTGAAACACAGCATTTATCTTCTAAAAATATTTTCTGAATTGTGAAGAATTACATATTAAGGTCATATGAAACACTAAGAATGTACTTTTGACTACGTTTTAGTTGTCTTGGGTATAACCCTAGACAAGTATTATCACTGTTTATAAGCTGACACTGAAGACAAGTAAGACACTAGGCTAAACAATGGTTAAAGAAAGGGTTGAAATTGTGATTTTTAAACCTCAAAGAGTGTTTTATTCAGCTGAAGAGAGAAGGTGATGTGAGGAAAACAAAGGTATGTTACAACTTGGGTTTAGGTAAGTCATATGGGAATTTAGCAGTTTCAGAGGTGGATAAGTTCTGGTACTTTGAGATAAAGAGATAGGTAAAGTTCAAATTTAAAACCGTAAGGTCTCTTATTCAGCATTTAGTAGGTATTAATGAATGTTAACACTCCTCCCCTCCCAAATCATCCCTAACACAGGTAGTTAATAAGTTATTCAAGTCTCTAAATATAGATCCTTGTATTTGGCTATGTAACCCTTAGGCAAGAAACCCTTTAGCTGCTCTTAGGCCTGATTTTATTTTTATCTGTACAATAGGGCTTTTTATTCTGTCTTGGTCACAGAACTCTTAAAAGTCTCAAATAGGTCTGCATTTCCTTCCATCCTGCAAAATGCTATCTATTTTATAATGTTAGTTCTGAAGGAATATTCCCTGCAATTATAATAAAAAACATGTAAAGAGCAACTCTGATAAAGAACAACTTTTGACAATTTACTGACAAAAGTTATCTACACTTTAGGATAAGCATACAAGTTATTAAATATGTGATGATTAAGCTTATTATCATATATGACTGACTGCTAGGACTTTAATAAAACCAGACTAGTTTGTCTCATTTTCTTGGTGCAATCCAGCACAAGTAAAAGCATCTGTCATCTATCTGATGTATTTGCATCACACACAGATCACATGGATATCCTTATTTATAACAGACAAGGAAATAAGGACAAAACCACATAGTATTGGCTACTTGATGCTTTAAAAAAATGGGTTGGAAGAGAGCTGGGTCATGATTTCTCCAAGTGTGACAATAATACATCCAAGCCCTGGCTCAGATCCACCAATAATATCCATAAGTTAGAGCAAGGAAATCTGCATTTTTAATACCTCCTGATTTCCAACTCCAGAAGACTAGTGCATACTCTCAACTTGGAGACTATGGTGCTCAAGTATAGACACCTAGGTACCCCAGTGTTGCTTTTATTTTATGGATCTGGGACCCTCCAGGATATTTCACACTTCACCCCCACTCTCTCAAGGATCCCGGTATTACCCTAGTGTGTATGCACGACTTTTTTTATCTTTGCCACATTATTTCTAAAAGTGGATGAATCACTCCACAAAAGAAACACCTAAGTTCTGGCTTCTGTCTCTTTCCCTTTAGATACATGAGGGAACCACTCATAAATCCCAGGGAGGGGGCTGGACAGCTGGGAGCCAAGCTTCCTTCACCACCAAGTCTAGGACTCCCAGTCGACTAGGGTTGCAGGAAGACAAACAGCAGCCAATAGAATTAGGGTATTTCCCCGGCCAATTCAGTTAACCGTTGACACAATGTGTTTACACAAGTCCCCTGGAGAAGAAACAGGGATTGAAGGGGAAATGTGAATAAAAGAGATTTAACATGAAGTAATTTTCTCTTACACATGATTGAACAAATACAAAGTTCACTAAGTATTTCAAATGCCAAATAGATGCACCACCTCATCCCTCCTCCTCAATTAATAACCCCTGCAGGACACTAGAAAATACTGTTTAAAAAGCATAAGACCAAAAAGCTATTGAAGTAAAAATGGTATCCAGGCCCAAGTTCATAAATTGGCAGGCCTGCAGGGTGATTCTGCCCACAGAGAGGATTTGTTTAGTCTGTAAAGTGTTGCTTTTGTTTTTTTATTTCAATTACTTGCCAATTAAAAAAAAAAAGAAACCTGAATTTTTTTAAACATAAATGTTCAAATTCCTCCATTTTCTTGAAAAGTGTAAGGCAGCTAATGCATGGTGATTATGGGCAAACATTCAGTGGAAGTTGTCTCCTACAGATGAGCTTCTCGTCTAATTAGAGGCCCCCAAGGGAGGCAGCCCCTGTACTTCTCCTTTGGTCCTACATATTATCGATGTCCATGGCCCTTGGCCTCACCCAGAGAATAATCGCTACCAGCCAAGTCATGTAGTTCTTGATGGTGGTATTCACAGCAAGGGGGAAAGGACTAGAAACTAGGCAAGAATGCTTAGTTTTGTTCTGCATTTCATCTAGAAATAAAGAAAGCAGCCTCTGAGTTAACACTGGTAGGCATCTGGGTTGGACTGCGGAAGGCACATGTTCCCTTCAAAAATTTTACCCCTGTCCCCCACACCCACCTGATGCAAAGAAAGACAGATAGAGAAGCACACAGGGTACCCTTAGGCCACATCACTGACAACTAGCCACCTACATATTCGCCTCCTTCCAATGAGGTTTGAGGAAAAAAAAGACAGGTTCCCAGAGCCACAAGCATCCACTGATAACAGACTCTTAGGCTTGGACCTACAAGGTTAAACAGTTTGGTGTTTGCATAGACAGTTCCTTTTCTACCTTAGTTTGTTTAATGAATGAAGGACCCTGGATCAGTAACTCCTGATGCTACAATGTCCTTATTAGGAATGTAGAAGTATGAGATTTCTAGCTCTAAAGGAAGTAATTATAAGGTCCTTAAGTAATCTACTGCTCCACTGTTAAAATCAGATGAGTGAATACTTCCATAACTAAGCAATCTTCCCTAATATGTAAGTACAATGGTAATAAAGTAATTATGGGTACTATAAACCAAGTCTTGATTCTCACAGGCAGTATCCAATGAGGAGCCAGGAAGCCTGCCCTCCGCGAGGGCCATCAGATGGTGCGGCCCAGGCAAGACACCCTTCCTCCAGCTCGCTAATGAGGGGAGAGTGCTAATGATCTTCCCTTACCTACTTCATTAGGATGCTGTCATGTGTACGAACAGCTTATAGTGCCTCGGGAACAGGGCGATATATAAAAAGGTCATATTCCTTTTATGATTAGTCTTACCTCACAAGATGCCTCAACGGAACAAGAACTTTATAGGTAGGTACCTGGGAAGTATGACTAGCTGCTTCCCTTCTCCCAGTGAGGAGAGGCGGTAGTGAAGGAAGTCCAGGTCAGCACCCACCTCTGTTCTGATGGATACTGGTTTTCCGACATCATCTTTGGCATCTGGAGGGGCTGATGTGGTGGCCGGGGGACTGCAAAGGTTTGCTGCTGTGGTCCAGGTTCTGGAAGCGAATGAGGGGCAGCGGCAGGGCCCACCCCTTGGACAGGGCCCGCTGCAGGGGCATGTGCAGAGGCGGGCAGCGTTGCCTGAGGTGGGGGAAATAGGGAATTCTGATGGGTGGGTGACAGGGGGGTGGTAGGAGGGGTTAATGGCTTGAACCCAGAGGGAGGCTTCCTATCATAGGCACTGTAAACAGAAAGAGAAAAGGAACCATTAGGTTGTGAGGAAGCCACTGTCTTGGTCACCAGGTCCAGCAGAACACTGGGTTGACAGCCCAGGGTTGCCAGGAAATGACAGCATTAACATGGTTAAAAGTGCTGGCAGCCCTGAGGGAATATTTGTACCTCTGAAAAGTGACAAACTTACTGCGTCACAGGGACTTGTTTAACACTTCTAGTGATTCTTCTCAAAGATAATTTTAGCCACTGCTTCCGGTTTCCTTTTCTCCCCCTTCTAAAAGAATTCTCCACGTATACAGGGTGGATGGATGAGGGGAGAATTTATGTCAGAGGCGCTCTCTTGCCCTCTCTCCCAAGTATTCCAGGGTTCCCAGGAATTAGTCAGAACCTTTGTTGAGGATAAATTTCTGCTGTAACATCACTTGAATTAACAACTCTTCTCCTCCCCCTTTCAGGCAGATCTATGTTTATCTTCTAGAGCAAAGAATGATTTAAAATTAAAGCTTCATTCCTGGGTCCTGGATATTCTTAAGTAAAGGGCACTGGCATTGGACTTTTTCATATATTCTGATTTGAAGATTACTTCTTTGGTGCTTAAAGTTCACATTAACATATGATAGACATGAAGAAGTATAGATTCCTTCCCTTGAAGCCACAGATCAAATATCCCAGTCTTCAAGCCTCTTTCCCTCAGGAGGGCTTGGTTCCCTTTGGACTCAGTTCCCTACAGAGCTGCTTTAACAGTTTGGTGTTTCTCAGGCAACAACATTAAGGCCCCATTTGGACTGGCCCACACCTAGCAAATTCCATTGCCATGGAGGACTGGGGGTGTGTGTGCTCCCCTGGGTGTCTGCTGAATAAACACTTGAAACAGCTCGACAGCTACTTTCTGGCCAGTGTTTCTCCAGCTTAACTTACCAATAGTTGTAGAGGCACTTTTCTCCATAGTTAGCACCAAGAGCCTGCTCGTGGCTGCAGGACGACAGCTCGGATGAGGGGCTGTGCAGCTCCCGTTTGATCTTGGTTGGAGGTGGGGCATGAAGCACCACTGAAATCAGAAGAGGGGAGGGGGAGGAACAGAGAGAAGACAGCCCATTAACAGGGAGCACATTTCCTTCTGCAAACCCTGTAACCAGACTGTTCTTGGAACTATCTCAAGTCACATGCCAGAGAAAGCCAAGCACTTAAACACAGAGCTTCCACCTAAAACCAACAAAAAGTTCTTGAAAGTCAGATCATCTGACACTGTTAATTAGCCAACCCGTTTTTCCAAATTTCTTTGGTGTTGGGTTTGCTTCCTAAAGACTCTGAAATGTTTTAAAATCTGGCAGGTGATGCTTCTTCTAGAGAAAGGCATGAGGTAACAAACAAACACATACCAGGGGTTGGCGACAAGGAGAATTTTGCCTCCAAAAATGGCATAACAGCATAAAACCTATTGGTATACACTACACATTGCCTTATCAAACACCTAGAACTTTCTGGTAAATCTACTTTTCTTGTTCAGAGGCATTGCCACGTTAAATCTCTGGTTTTGAAAAGTCCTTCCTTAAGGAACTCTGATAGTCTGAGTAATATTCAACTTTAGGTGTATTTTCAAACACTTTAAAAGCAAAGCAATACAAGCAACCAAACCACCAGCCGGGGAAAGTGCTTTCCACACTGAACAACCAGAGACGGCAGTTTTGCATAACCAGGCCTTTCACGGATGCCTCCAATTCCTTTCCCCAGATGAAGTAGCGCACCCAGCCGCTGGCCATGACTGGTGTCTGCAGCCCCCTCTCCTCTACCTTTGCTGGATGAATGGACAACTCTGGAAAAATTCCTTCTGATGTCTCCATTTCCTTATTAAGAATGGAAAGCTAAAAATGTGAAAGCTGCCTAATTCACATGTGATTTTTTTTTTAAAGATTTATTTGTGCATAAAGAACTGGGGTACAGGCCAGAGGCTCAGGGGCAGCGAGAGGCTTCACCAGAGACAGAGTGGGGAGCAGAACAGGCAGATCGATGAAGTACACTGCTGAGGGGAGCAGCGGGCGGGTAAGGAGAGGTCTGCCACACCATGCGGTCACCTCTGGGGCAGGCGGGAATCGAACTCATGAGGAAGCATCTTTAGATTCTCAGTGCAGTGCTTTAACCTGCTGCGCCACCAGGGAGGGCCCTCACATGTAATTTTTGAGAGAGTACGGCAGTAATAGTTTTCAAATGTTGGCTTACCCAAGAGTGACCAAACCAACCGAGCTAAGTCTGTTTTTTTTTTTTTGTCTTGATGGGGAGGTGATTTTGGAGGGAATTTTGCCAACAGCAGGACAAACTTTAAAGATGGTGCCCTGGGAGGGCTGTCCTCTCTTGCTGGGGGGTTAGAACTACAACTACAAGCCTCCACCTTGGAAGAGGAGGGGAATGAGCTGTTTTTGTGCCAGTCACTTGCCACTGTATCAAAGGTCTCACTAAACAGCTAAACACAGACAAGTGCCCTGAGGACCAACTAAAATCTGTCTAACTGCACATTTACTCCTAAAACACTGTCAGGAGTATGGTTAATTCTTAGGAGACTAGGTGCAAGTTCCTAAATGATCACCCCTTTTCTGTCTGATAAGACTGAACAATATTCTAGCCAAGTGGTTTCTCGGAGGTCTCCTCCAAGTCCAAAGTTGGACTTAGAAATGAACAAGTGCGATGATGAACCTCTCACAGCCTACAAGTTTGTAAAGCAAAATCCTACCGGTAACTGAGAGAAAGGAAAGGTTGTCAGAACTCCTTTTTCACATAATGCCAACTGCTTTTCCAAATACATGAAGTAAATTCAGAATGGGTAGATTATGTTTAGAAGTCATCCAAGTCTCTGGTGAGTTTTCAATGCAGCCATCATGGCAGCTACCCCTCAATTGTTATCAAATGTTTTCAGACATTCAGACCAGAAAACAGTGAGGTCTGTTGTTCTTGTTAGAACACTGTCCATCATGAGAGGAGAGAATAGGACAGTTTGATACACACAATCATTTTTCCAATGCAGTGGATGTTCTGGGGTTCTCAGCACCACCCCTTTGTGACTGTTCTTCCACTTGTGCCACAAAAATCTTGGCAAAATAATGAGGAAGGGCTAAGATGTTCCAGTTTAATAGAAAGTTACATGTCCTTGAAAAGGCTACTTTTTCTACTGTAGTAAAGAAAATCACTTATAATTACTGTTTTACCCAAGCTTAAAAGTAACTATGGAAATTATAAGAAATTCAGTTTCCTTCAGGTTTTAGAAATACCTTGACATTTTCACAATATTATTCTAAGGGTCTCCCTGATGACCAAGGGGTTTAATCTCAGCACTATTACTGCTAAGGCCTAAATTCAACCCCAGCCAGAGAGCTGACCCACAGGCACAGCAGATCCCTCCTGATTCATCCATTCCCTCAGCAGTGCATTTCAGTCAGTTGGCCTGTTCTGCTCCCCACTCTGTCTCTGGTGAATCCTTTCACACACACCCCACCCACTGCCCCTGAAGGCCTACACTCCAGCTCTTCTATGCAAAAATAAAATAAATAAAATCTTAAAAAAAACAAATATTATAAGTTAACAGTTCTGCTGATAAGGCTAACAACAAAGCATACACCAAAGTTGCTTGGAAAAAACCCTCATTTTATACTGGCTTCAGGAATAGCATTACCCCCCCACCACTTTTGTTTAAAAGATTTATTTATTTATGCATACAGAACTAGGATAAAGGCCAGAGGTGCAGGGACAGAGAGAGGATTCACCAGAGACAGAGTGGGGAGCAGAACAGGCCCAGTGATGAAGTACACTGCTGAGGGGAGCAGCAGGCGGGTCGGGAGAGGTCTGCCGTGCCATGTGGGTCAGCTCCCTGGCTGGGGATCAAACTCATGCTGAAGTGGCTTTAGCTTCTTAGTGCTGTCTTTTAACCCACTGCACCACCAGGGAGGGCCCTGCATATACCCATTTTAAGAGAATATCTAAACTATCAGCTAAATCTGATGTCTTCATTTCTTCAAATCTGCATAGTATTCTCAGTGTGGAGTACACCATTTTGGCTCTAGGTGAAATGATGTCTTTTATTACTCATGATGATCTTGTACCTGCAATTATTTTCTCTGCGTAAAGGAGGGGGTTAAGAAATAGCTGGAGAGTGAGTGTATGGTCTGTTTGTTTCCTTCTTCCCGTAATTCATATGTTGAAATCCTAGTGCCCAGTGATCATATTAGGGAAGTGATTAGGTCAAGAGGTGAGTGCTCTCCTAAGCAAGATTACTGCTCCCTCTCCCCCTTCAATGTACAAGGACACAATAAGAAGTCTGTCGGGAGAACCCTCACCTGACCGTGCCAGCACCTTGATCTACTGTGAGCAATAAACTTCTGTTGTTGATAAGTTGCCAGTCTGTGGTGCTTCATTAAAGTGCCCGAAATAGGTTATGACAATGCATGTTTGAATGGATTATATTTCCATCAGGGACTTTAACCTTGAAGGCAGAAACGACATCTACCCCACAAGGCTAGGGGCACTATATGAGTCATAGATACTTGCCCCTAGGAATTAACCTACAGGGAGAGAAGAGAGTGGAACATCACAGGAAGGAGAACTGAAAAATGCATAGAGCCCTGACAGGAAAGTCAAAAGGGGCCCTGCAGGTGGTAGGGAAGAAGTTTCAGGCCTCCAAATGGACTGAGGGGCCAGAGGACATGTAAAGGACCTGACATGGCATGCTGTCAGAGGCCAGGGTATATTTAGAGCAGGAATGCAGAGGCTCCAGGCAGGCTCCCTGCTTTCAGTCTATACCCTCATGTGTAAAATGAGATATGTGATGCTGCCTTGAGAAGTAAAGAAAATGGCACAGCACCTTGCAGATGGTGCTATGATGTTGTGTAATTATACATTGTGCTTTCAAAAATAGAGTATTTACCTTCACACAGCCGACTTTCTAAATGATGTCTGAGACCTAGGCCTATAAAGCTTAGCAACAAATTGGAGTTAAAAAAACATCATGCACTCCTGAGGAAGTTTGAAAAGAAATGCTACAGAACTTGTCTATCTGAACTGATAAAACATCTTCTATCATTAGAAAGTCTGAGTTTCATCACTTCTCTCCCCCCCACCAAGCAAAGAAACTGAAGGAAAAGATAAACAGCTGGGATTACATACTAAAAAGCTTCTGTACAGCAAAAGAGACAATAACCAAAACAAAGAAGCATCCCACTGATTGGGAGAAAATATTTGCACTCCACAACACTGATAAGAGACTGATTTCAAAGATCTACAAAGAACTCTCACTACTCAACAAAAAACACAGCAAACAATCCAGTCAAAAGATGGGCAGACAGGCTAAAAAGACATTTCTCCAAAGAGGATATGCAAATGGCCAAAGGGATATGAAAAAATTTACACCATCCCTTATAATCAGAGAAATACAAGCCGAACCACAATAAAATGCCACCTCACACCAGTTAGAATGGCACATATCAAAAAACAAAACAAAACAAAACAAAATTGGTAATAACAAAAGCTGGTGAGGATGTGGAGAAAAAGGAACTAGCCTACACTGCTGGTGGGAATGCAAACTGGTCTAACCACCATGGAAAGCTGTGTGGAGGTTCCTCAAGTTACTAAAAATGGAGTTTCCTTATGACCCAGCAATTCTACTCCTAGGAATCTACCCAAAGAACACAAAAACATAAATTCAAAAGGAGACCCGCACCTCTATGTTTATTGCAGACTATTTCCAATAGCTAAGATATGGAAACAACCTAAATGCCCCAAATCAGATGATTGGATCAAGATGTGGTATATTTACAACATGGGATAATATTCAGCAATCCAAACAGAGAAACTTGGGCCATTTGCAGCAACATGGATGGAGCTGGAGGGGCTTATGCTCAGTGAAATAAGAAGGAAAAAGAAAAACAGCAGCTGTCTTAATTTATAAGAGGAATACAGGGGAGTCAAATAAGGCTGGGGGGCAGGGAGACAAAACTAGCAGGCAACTATAAATTGGAGACATTCATCAGGAGAGGGAGAAGGTGAAGGATTAAAACAGGGGAGGGA